ACTGCTATAGACTCTCCCTCCCCTCTCATGGTTCTCCCTTATTACAGATGCTTTTCCTGGCAACGTTTTTCCCAACATGGGAAGGAGCAGTTGGAGCGTACGACTTTATTGGGGTAAGATGGTCCGTTGATGAACCTCTCCTCCCTGTTCATCCTCCCTGTTCATCCTCCCTTGGGGGGGGGGGAGGGGGCAGGGGGGGTTTGTTATAAACGACGAAAGTGGACTATTGCCAGTTTAACACTTCGAGATATAGATGTAAAATATATCAATGGAAGTGATCTTCATGCATGTTGAAGGTAAAAAAACAGACGGCAATGGACTCGTCATGATTCTTGCCTTCAGTGTTCCTCAGCTGATCTTTTCCCCATTACTGACTTATCATGCCGTGTTCTGCACTCTGTCTCTGTGTGGAGGCAGCCATCTTGGTAGTGGCAGGGCTTTGCTTCCCTGTGTCAGAGCTGCCCCCTGTAATGACCTGGCAATCTAAAGGCTCTCCACAGATACATACAGATCGGTAGGCTGCAGCCACTGGTGTTTGTTTATATCCAGTATGGGTTGGGTTGGATTAGGTTGAGGGGGGTTGGATTAGGTTGAGGGGGGTTGGATTAGGTTGAGGGGGGTTGGATTAGGTTGAGGGGGGTTGGATTAGGTTGAGGGGGGTTGGATTAGGTTGAGGGGGGTTGGATTAGGTTGAGGGGGGTTGGATTAGGTTGAGGGGGGTTGGATTAGGTTGAGGGGGGTTGGATTAGGTTGAGGGGGGTTGGATTAGGTTGAGGGGGGTTGGATTAGGTTGAGGGGGGTTGGATTAGGTTGAGGGGGGTTGGATTAGGTTGAGGGGGGTTGGATTAGGTTGAGGGGGGTTGGATTAGGTTGAGGGGGGTTGGATTAGGTTGAGGGGGGTTGGATTAGGTTGAGGGGGGTTGGATTAGGTTGAGGGGGGTTGGATTAGGTTGAGGGGGGTTGGATTAGGTTGAGGGGGGTTGGATTAGGTTGAGGGGGGTTGGATTAGGTTGAGGGGGGTTGGATTAGGTTGAGGGGGGTTGGATTAGGTTGGGTTAAAGGGGAAAATGGATAGGTGCTCTTTGTATTGAAGTACACTTCTCCTTTAATAAACACACACCTTCATAAATGTCCCCCATTGTTTTTTTTTTTTTATACCAAAGTCTCTCAACATATCTGACAGACCTGAATGTTTTCTCTCCTCCTAGGAGTTTATGAAGGCCACGGTTGACCTGGCGGACCTCTTGGGGCTGCATTTGGTGATGTCCAGGAATGCTGGGAAGGGAGAGTACAAAATAATGGTGGCAGCCATGGGATGGGCGACAGCGGAGCTGGTCATGTCTAGGTGAGGATTGTACGACGTCTCTTCTTTCTCGTCATTAATGATTATTGATGAGTCCTCTGAGATATGAGGCCACGCTGAGCCTGGTATGGAAGCCTCTAGTAAGAATTGCCGGTAGCAACCCAACATTCCATATGTCATTCTAGCGATGTGGAATCTAAATCTCATGGTTGGGGGTTCAGAGTAAATATATTTGGTGTAACTTTTCAGTTTGATTTTTTTGGTCTCAAAGTATTATACATTATATGGACAAAGGTTTGGAGACTACTGATATTCCTAAGTCAGG